TCTTTCTTTCTTTCTTTCTTTCTTTCTTTCTTTCTTTCTTTCTTTCTTTCTTTCTTTCTTTCTTTTGTTCCTTTGTATCAGTTAAAGATGAAGCATATAATTGGGTATCCTAGTACCCTAAAGACATAAGACCCCCCCCCCTTTTTTTTGAGTAACATAGATAGATTGAGTCCTCAGAGAAAACCTGAGGCTATGGAAGTTTTATAGCTCAAGACACCAGTCACCAAGCCACTCCATCCGAGAATCTGTACCCTAATCTCCAACCCAGGCCACTTATAGCAGAGAGGGCATCTTTTCATCTGGGTGCATTCAGGATGCAGTAGAGAGCACCACACACACCTCTGGGAAGATGCCAAGGTGGCCTCTCCTTTCATCCTCTATAGGAACTAGGAGCTACCAGGAGCATGGTCACCGGATGCTGCTTATCTGGTTGCATGGCGTGGCCACAGCTGGGAAGAACCCCAGCAAAGCACTATTCGAGGGCCTTGTGGCCATTGGCAGGAGAGACTTGGCCGGTAAGTGAGCCCTGGCTGGAATTCTTGGGCCCTCAAAGGGCTGCTCAGACCAGAGCCCTGTGTGACTGGTCTTAAGCAAAGTGAAAAAGGCTGGTCCTTACTCATCAGTATCTTTGAGTAATAGTGCCAGTTAACCCTGTGCCCTCAAAGCCACCAAAGTCACCAATGATGCTGTAATCTTTACCTCCCCAACTGTCTCTGCCTTCTAGTTTGGAGTAAGGCTGAGACAGTCTTGGGACTTCTTTTCCATAGACATTAAGAGAGATGAGTCACAAACTGGCACAAACTGGCCTAGACATTGAGTTGAGCCTTCTGAAGCCAGCACAAGATACTTAACTATTCTACCCCTAAATGACTAATTTGGGATTCCTGTAGTGTCTTGGGACTTTGAGACAAGCAGGATCAAAGGTTGTGGATCTAATCCCCCATTAAAGGCTGGTTTATGAAAAAAGCCTTAAGCAGTGGACATGTCCATCAAGGTGGGCAGCTTCAGGGTGGGCTACCAGGCAGTTACTGGAAGCCATGGAGGCTATGTTGGTTATGAGGTAACAGGGAAAACACTTCTTGCTGTAAGCTGGGACCTGAACTCAGGTTCTCTGCAAGAGCCATGTGTAGGGGTGATATTTAGAAAACGGCACCTGGTAAGGCTTGTTCCCGAGAAGCCACCAAGTTCCCAGGGCTCCAGCTAGCTAAATGTGCAGGCCCTGGCACCCATGAGACTCCAGAGTGGGGGAAGGCTCTGCCAATCCATCACACTGCATCCACAAAGCTCGGCTGAACCTCAGACAATATCTGCCATCCTCGTAGTACCCGGAAGAAATGAGACTCTTAAAGCTTAATGATTATCTAAAGGATTTATTTATTTAGAAATGATCAATCAATAAGATGCCCACACAATTAGAGTTATTACCCAATATCTAACCTTTTGATAGAAGTTGCTACCCAGGACAGCTTTCAACCCATCTGTGGTTCTCCATGGCAGATAGCCTCCTTCTTCCCTTCCCCTTCCTCTCTTTCTCCCCTCCCCTTCCTCTCTTTCTCTCCCAGCTCCACCTCCTCTTCTACTGCTTAATCACAAAGCTCCACTGCAAATACAATGTAGCAGAATAAGTATCCTGCTACAGCCATGAGTGCTCTTAACTACAGAGCTATCTTCTCCGACCTTCCCAGATATTCTGAAGAACCGCAATGTATCCTCTTAGCACTAAGACTCAAAGGAAATTAGGACACAAACCAACCTAGGGAGGAAGGGAGGATGCACTCTAGGCAACAGGGGTCTTGTGTTCTACAGAAAGCACCAGGAAGATGGCAAACGGTGAGCCCACAGCCCCCAGGAGGTGTACAACCATGTGAGCTTCGGAAACACCTAGAGATTACCTACATGGAAGAGGACATCTATAAGGGTTTTCAGAGCAGTCCCTGCACACAGACCTCCAGCTGCCGCTACTGAATCATAGAGCCCAGCAGGAAATACCAATACTTTCTGAAGGATGGGCCATGGGTCTATTCTAGGCTTTCTGGGCCATCCTGTCCTAGGAGTGTGGCCCTCTCTAGCCCTCCACTTATTTTGTTGTGTTCGTGAGGGTGCATATGTATGTACCTGTGTCAGGGGCGTGTGGAGGTCAGAGGACCCTTGCTGGAGTATTCCTCCCCAGGTACTGTCCATCTTGGGGTTTTTTGGTTGTTTGTTTTGAAACAGTCTCTCTAATGTTCCCAGCAGTCATGGAATACCTTGTATTTTTGAGGCATGGCCTCTCATTGGCCTAACTAGACTGACTGGCCAGTGAGTCCAGTGACCCTCCTGCTTTGCCTGTCTAGTCCTGGGCTTACAAATGTGTGCCATTGTGCTTGAAGGACTCTCTAAGAGGAGACCCAGGAAGGACGCGGACCCAAAGACACTCCAGAGACCGTCTTGCTGTAATTACATGAGTCAGGTCCTTTATTATCGAAGCTTCCGGCCGATATGTGCCTCATGAAGGAGGTAGAGGTATTGACCTCGAGGCCCAGAAGCTTAGGGTTAATCTAGGCAAAGGTCAGGGGGAGGAAAGGGGTTGTGAGTAATCACACACAATTGGTTGTTTCACATGTCTGTAATGTGTATAAGCAGATCCCAGGCAGAGATCTGACAGATCTCACGAGAATAGTCTCTGGTCCCTGTGGCCTTGGGACCCAGTGTGAATGCTTATCTGAGCCAACAGACCATCTGGCTGAATTTAATTCGCAAGTCCTTGGGACCTCTGGTGGGAGTTTTTCCAGAGGAGGCTAAGTCAGACACCATGGGAACAGATTCCTGGAACATTCAATTGACCTTTGTTTCCCTCTTCTGCATCCCCTGTGACGGCCTTGGGTTAGCAAGCTAGCAGAATTGCTGACCTGCAATTCTTAACTATTTGTATTAGTGAATTAAGGCTTCCTGTTATACTATTGATTTTAAACTAACTTAAAATTCCTCTTTCAGTGCCCTGGTTCTTATGTGGGTTCTGAGAGTCAAACTCAGTTCCTCAGGTTGCATGGCAAGGGCTGTACTAACTGAGTCGATCCCTGCAAGCCTCTCGGCTCATTTTCACTTCTGTTATCTTAGAATAACATGAAGCACCCCTGAGGTGCAAGGGGTGTCTTTACTGCCTAGGGCACTGAGGTCTAGGGAGGAAAAACAGCTTTCCCAGGTCATTCCACAAATCAAGTGGTGTCGAGCGGTGTCAAACCAGCAACCTTCCAACCCCAGCCTGCAGGAAGGGCCTCATTCATTCAAACTAGACAGTCTTTAACTCATCAGTGACAACTTAGTGCTCTCTAGTGTCAAGCTGACAGAAGCTGCAGAGCTGATTCCACAGCTGTTTGCATTTGTAAATCTATGTGTATACACTAAAAGCCCAGGAGGCACGCGCTGTCCTGTTCTTCCCTCTAATCGGGTAACTGGATATATAACATTTTAAAATGTTTTTGATCTTTTTTTTTAAATCTTGAAGTCATTTTAGACTTACAGAGTTTGCAAAATAGAACTGAGAATATTCATGTCTTCTGCACGCAGCATCTCTGAACATTAACTCTTGGGTAACTACAGTGTGGGTTTGTAAAACCAGGAAGTTAGAGGTTGGAGAGGTGGCTCAGTGGTTGAGAGCATTGTCCTTGTGGAGGACTGTGAGTTCAGTTCCCTGTACCCAGCTTAGAGCTATCTGTAACTCTGACTCCAGATGATCTGATACTCTCTTTTGGCCTCCAGTGTCACTGCCTATATGTGGTGTGTGTGTGTGTGTGTGTGTGTGTGTGTGCAGGCAAACATTCATATATATATAATCTTTTCTAAAATTTAGGAAATTAACAGTTTACAAACTACTCATTCATTTTAAACCATATTCAGATTTTGTCAATGTTATGTCAGCCCATGGGTTAATATCTGGCCCAGGATCACAGATTACATTTAGACATTTTAGTTGCTATTCTGTTTCTTTGGTGCTGGGGACTGAACCTAGGGTCTCACATGTGCTAAATACTTGCTACACCTTTGAGCTTACAACTTCAGTCTTTGCTTTTGTTTTAGATAGGGTCTCTCTAGGTAGCCCAAGCAGGCCTCCAACTCAAGACTTTCCCATTCCAGTCTCCCAAATACAAGGATTATAAGACACATGCCACCAAACTCCCCTGCCATAACATTTACCCATTTATTGAGTGTGTCACACCTGAGGAGGTCAGAGGCTAACTTGGCAGAGTTAATTCTCTCTCTTGACCTTGTGGGTCCTGGAGTTGAAGTCAGGTCATCAGACTTGATGGCAAACACTTTCACCCACTGAGTCATCTGCTGTGCCCCTCTTCCCTCTCTTAAAATTTTTTAGATTTAAATTTTTTATCTTATGTTTTGCATGCTTGTATGTATGCACACCACAAACGTGGTTGGTACCCTAAGAGGTCAGAAGAGGCATTAGATTCTCTGAAACTGGAGTTTCAGAACTCATGAGCCACCTGTGAGTTTTGGGTTTGCAGAGAACCCAGGCCCTCTGCAAGCGTTACAAAGTATCCTTAACTGATGCACCATCTCTCAGCCCCTCATCTGGTTTTAAATAGTCCTATTAGCTCTGGGGCTCCACTGCATATCCAGCTGAAATCATGGGTCCCTCCATGCGTGTTCCCAGGCTAGCCCCACTGTGGGGGAATTTGAGAGTGGGGAGGGGGGAGTGGATGAATGGGTGGGGTCACACCCTCATAGAAGCAGCAAGAGGGGGGATAGGGAGTTCCTGGGGGAGGGGGAAATGGGTAAAGGAGATAACATCTGAAATGTAAATAAGTAGAATATCCAATTAAAAAATACATAAAAAAAAGAAGAAGGCTCTAGGGCAGCATGCCCAGTTAAACATGATGAATTGACAGGGAAATTTCATAACTGCACATCCAAGATGGACCCACTGGCCATTGTGACTACTGAACAGTACACATTAGGAATGACTGAGGAACTGAGTTTTCAGTTTTATCTTGTTTTTTGTCTCCCCACTCCCACTCCCTGATACAGAGTCTCTGTGTAGCCCTGGCTGTCTTGGAACTTTCTCTGTAGACCAGTCTGGCCTCCAACTCACTGAAATCTGCCTGCCTCTGCCTCCTGAGTGCTGGGAATAAAGGGTTGCACCACTACTGCCCAGTCAATTTTATTTAGTTTTAACTACTGAAAAAAAATAGTGATGGTTTTGTTTTTTCTTTTTAGTAGTACTGGAGTTCATGGTTGGCAAGTACTCTACCACTCAGTTGTACTTACACCCCAAATTATCTGAATTTTAAGCAAGCAAATGGCATGCTTCCTGGACAGCAGAGCTAGCCTGCCGTTTCACTCTGAAGTGTCAGGCAAGCACAGCTTGTGTGCGTGTGTGTGTGCATGTGTGTGTGTGTGTGTGTACCAGTAGGAAAATGTGGTCCTAGGGGCTGTGACTCTGGAAGCTTGTTTGTCTACCACGATTCAGACACTGTGGGACAGCCTAGTGGTCACCAGAGTGACTGCTGTCTCAGGAGGACACAACTCAGAAAAGCTCCATAGTTCTCTACTGGGCTGGAGACAGAATGGAAGCAGGTGGAACTGGAAGAGGCTTTGGCTATCGGGGGTGGCTGGGTACACAGTGGTCCCTTCCTTCCCCACTGGTCTAGTTGTCACTTCCTTTCCTGTCCTCCCCACCTTCCTCCCTTCCTTTGGTATTTTAATCTAACAGTCCCTCTTTCCTTCCATCCCTCCCTCCCTCCATTTCTCATAGATTTATTTCTATACTGTGAATATATATATATATATATATATATATATATATATATATATACACACACACACACACACACACACACACATATATACTTTTATGAGACAAGGTCTTATTACACAGCTCTTGCTGGCCTTGAACTTGCTGTATAAACCAGGCTGGCTTCAAACTTGGGATGAACCCTTGTGCTTCTGCTCCCCAAGTGCTGGGATCACAGCTATGTCCGCATCGCTGCACCTGGCTGACACATACATACAATCTAGACTGTTAAAATACAGACTAGACTCCTGTCCCACTAAACTCACAGAAAAACTGTTTGCCCTGTAAGGTTTGAGACTGGGTTTCCCAAGATAGTTGGTGCCAAAAAAGAACCATTTCTTCATGGCTTAAGAAACAGCTGATCCAGCAATCCCGGGGACCTGAGAGGAGGAGAGAAGAAAGAAATAACTGGAGGGTGGTGGAATTCTAGTCCAATTTCCAGAAGGACTGACTGGCTCTGAACTTCTTGGGATAGTAAAGTCTTGACCCATAGCTGGAGGTAGGTCAAATATCAGTACTCCCTTAGAACCCACGGACCTTGGTGCTTTCTTGCTGAGTGGATACTGGTTGGTGCCAGAAGCTGGCACTCTCCATACAGTGAGAAGTTGCTCAGGATCCTGCCATAAGGCTGCAATTGCTCTTGAAACTTTAACTTTTAAGTAGGCAACCTCACAGTTGATGCTTTAGACCCAGCTGGTGCCCCGTGTGCTGACTTGCCCACCTCGTTTGCCCCTCATTGCCTGACAGCGCAGCCTCACAGGCGACACACTGAGCCTGCAGGGTGCAGGCTATGGTACTGAGGTGCAAGTGTGCAGCCCAGAGTGATAGTCAACCTGCAGCAGAAGATGCCGATGCAAGGAGTGTACCCAGCTTACACGGACACACAGCTTCCATCAGGAGGTTTTCCTGTTGTCCCAAACAGAGACATTGTC